CCTGGGCGGGTTGGGTGGGGGGGTCGGCATCACCCAGAGCGGCTGCGGATGCAAGAAGTGGGCTGCTCCTCACCTTCCCCCTGCAGAGAGGCAGCAGGGGTGGTACCCTGGTCCTCGGAGGAGGGGATGCTGCTGGAGGCAATGCCCCTGCAGCAGCTTCTGAGGAGGTGTCGGTGTGAGGAGGGCAGCCGAGGGGAAGAGGAGTGCGATGGGTGTCTTGGGGGCTTGAGCTTTACTCAGGCTCTAGGACTCGATCTCAAGCTGCCTAGAGAGAGTTTCCAGCATTAGAGTCACGGGGAATGAACCTGCAGAGGGGCTCAGCACCTCCGGGGCACAATGCCAGGGAGGGGGAAGCGGAGCTGCAAGCCGGCAGCGGGTCAGGACATGCTGAATGAGCCCCAGAGCTGCGCAGGACCTGGGCACCCCCTCCTCTATCAATGTAAATAAAGCTCCTCTTCTAAAAAGGCTTTTTACCCGTCTCTACAAGACTCTCCTTAGAGCATACAACAGCAGGCAGCAAACTTTTGGTCTCTGGGAAAGCTCTAGTGATATGCAAGTATATACCTGTTCTAGCAACCATCTGTGTTTTCAGAGCCAAGAAGGAACCGGGTCCTACCCTGAGCTGAGGGACCTCATGCACAAAACCACCGGAGAGAATAAACCTGTTGTGGGGTAATGCCTTCAGCCTCGCGCGGTGCAAACGCCCAGCGAAGGGCTTAATTACAACGTACAAAAGCGCTTTGGTCAGGCTGCGCGCTCGCCTGCGCCGCATGTCAGCGAGCAGCTATGCGGCAGAACAGGATGTCGGATTAAGGAGTCTCCAGCGAAACCCGTGCTGAGGACATCAGAGGACACCAGCCAAGCCGGGAAGTGAGTGAGCTGGGTGGTACCGAGCAGAGCTGCCCGCAGCCTCCCAGGCACCGGGTGCTGGGTGCCGCTGCCCGCCTCTGCCTGCGCTGCCTGCAGCGGGCTGGCTCAGAGCAAAGCCGCTCTGGCAGGGCTGCGAGCGAGAGCGGCACGCAGGGGCCTGGCTGCCTTGGGTCAGAACATGGAGGTGTTTTAGGGGCTCGGCCCTGCTGTGACCCCAGCTTGGAGCAGTAGGAAACGTGCCTTGCGGGGCTGCGAGATGGATTTCTCTCACCCCGGTGCAGCCGGCGGCTGGTGAGGGGCTGGGGGCTCACCTGCTTACCCGCCGAACACCCACTTGCCGAGCACCCGCGCAGCCTTATCTCCGCTGCGGAGGCGAGTTAATGTGTAACCCGGCTCTGTTTGGTTAGCCCAGGAAAGCAAAGAAGTCCTGGGATAGGCACGGCCGGACAAGGATTTGGGCAGCGTGGAACGACGGACGTCCTGGTAAAAAAAAAGAAAAAAAAATTTAATAATCTATATTCCCTCTTTTGCTTTCTGTCCTTTTCCTGCTGAGTGGGGTATGGGTGAGGGGCTGAGCAACTCTGCCCGGGTGGGACGTGGGGCTGCGGGTCCCTGCAGGGTTACGGACGTGCTTCCTTCTGGAAGGGTCAAGTGTGGCGGAGCTGTCACGGGAGGTGGCACCGGCAGAGCTGGACGCGGTGGTTTGAAGGCGGTGGCGGGAGGAAAGCTGGGGAGAGCAGCGGCTGCCGGCAGAGGGGCCGGGAAACCTTGGTGCTCAGGCCAGCAAACAGCTCAGGCAACGGCTGCGTGCGCTCGATTTACTTGTTGAAATAGGAGGAACTACAGATCCGCCGCCATCGTCTCCTTTCACCCCGAGGTGGGATCATCCCGCTGTGCCGCTGCGGAGTGGGAGCAGCTGGGACGGCCCCTGCCAACGGTGTTTTGCTTCGGTTTGTGTTTCGGGCTGGCCAGGACGAAGCCTTTTGCTGGCAGCTGTAGGGCAGAAGGGGTACGGCTGCTCTGCCTGAGACAGCGAAAATCCCGAGGTTCTTTAACGTAGCTGGAGAGCCATAGAGTGCTTGGAGTAGTACTGGGCTTAAAAGAAAGTAGCCTCTCACATAAAGCAATTAACATTAATTGCTACCCGGGACCTCTTTGATGTTTGAGGGCTCAGTGAGCTTTGTAGAGGACAGTTATGGCAGCTGTTACGAACGCTGCACAAACTGGCCTTTTTATTTTAGATAAAAAAATAGCTTCTTCTAAAATCAGTTTTAGTGGGGTAAGATACATCGTACTGAAAACCAGCTTTTCAAGTACCATGTCTTTTAACTTAAATAGTCATATTTTTAGTTTGTGGCTGAACTGCCGTGTTATTCAGCAAAAAGCGAAGAACTGTAAAATAATCCCCCTGAATCATAAAACCTGGGATTTTTCAACACTGATTTTTTTATTTTTTTTTTTTCCCCCAAGTCGGATGAATGTGTTAGAGCCATAATCACATCAGAGAACTAGAGGGAAGGAAAAAGAACTTCTTGTTTCTGCGTAGATCCTCTCCAGCGCCCGGCGAGCTCCAGGCTGAACTTTGCCTCCCTGCGACCTGGGGCTCCGCGGGTGCCAAAGCCTTGGCAGCTGCTTTATGTTTCTGCAAACGCTATTTGAACGAGAGCAGATTATTTCTTCCAACGTGCTGACACCAGTGGGCATCCTCATGGAGGAATTAGCTCTGTCGAGACCCTTAGTTAGAGCTGGGCCACGCTGCCGCTCTCCCTTCCCGGGGGGCTGCCTCGCACGGCGGCCGCTGGCTCCGACCGGCTGCTCCAACGCCGGCGTCAAGTTCGAGCGAGACTTTCACTTCCCCAGGAGTGTTTTGCTCTCTCGAATTTGTGTGGCAGGGCGGGAGGCAGCGAGGAGCATTGCAGCAATCCCAATCAAGCAGGCAGTAAAAGCAGCTTCGTATTTATTTCACGTTGCAAATATTCGGGTGCGCAGTAAAACTGCGCGGCTTGCAGAAGCCTGAAAACCACCAAACTCAGACAATGTCTTCTGCTTCCTGACAGCTGAAAACTCTGGCTATAAGGTTGTCCAAAGAATCAAGGGTATTGCTGTTCCAAAACCACCTCTTACGCAAACGCAATATAAGCAGTAAATAATGCAAAGCCGAGACCGAAATATTAAACTCCTCTTGTGTAGGATTGGATCTATCAGGGCGTGGGTGTTGAAATCTGATTTTTGTGGCATATTCCAATTACAAAGGAATTCTTTCAGGGTCTAACACTGAACAAGCAGCCAATTCTGCTCACTTTATCGCTAGATCTAATTCCCTGATAAAAAAAAAAAAAAAAAAAAAAAAAAGCAGTGTGTTCCTGTGTGCCATGGCCAGGTTAGAGCACAAAGAGCTCCTCTGTCTTCCGACCAGCAAATCCTCTCGCGTGGGTCTGTGTGTGTTGGAGGGGGTGTTTGTTTTGCCGCTCTCATTAGCCCCCACAGCCCAGTTCTCCTCCCCGAAGATTGGGCGGCGCGCGCAAAGAAAACACGTAAGTGGTGGTGTCAGTAAATTTTGGCAGGTTAATGCTTTACATCCATAAGTCATTATGCCTTTTGTAGGCGACTCAGCCTCTCCCCCCGGGCAGCCGAGCGCTCTCAGCCACGCACCCTGTGAGCATAACTGGCCCCTCCGCCGCCCAGGACGGTCTCGCTGTTGGGAGCCCCGATGGCAGGTTGTGTGTCAGCCAATGCTACTGTATTCGGGTCCCACTGGCATCGGGGGTACGGGCTGCATCCGGAAAAGCAGAGGGAGATGTCGGGGTGCTGCTTGCAACACCCCTGGGGTGGCTGGAGACCATCGCTGCAGCCCGGGCACAGCCCTGCTCTGCGCAAGCTCTGCCAGGCGTGTGCCCAAACACACCCAGGCGTGCCCCGAAGGGACGGGGGCACCTCCCCACGGCCACGACACCCCCGTGGCCCCCAAGGAAGGGTGGCAGAGAAAGCTCTTTGCCAGGAGGAAGCTCACAGCAGAGCAAGGCCGTGACTAAACAGCAGCATTTCGGGTCAGCGCGTTCAGCGGTTGAAGAGCACTTGAGCTGCGTGGCTGGCAGCGGTGGGTGGGGTGGAGGAACACGGCTCACCAGGCAGAGCTGGGGCTCACGCTGGGATGGGATTGCTGCTGCCGAGCACCGAGGCTGAGCTGGGCTTAAAGCTTTTTCCTTCACCACTTTATCCACCCCTCCGAGATGATTAGAGATGGCCGCAGATGGGCAGTCCAGAGCAGACACTACTTCCGATTCTTGTGGGGAAAACTTCAGTTCCAAGGATGCTTTAAATCAGCCCAGCTGCCCCTTGTCCTGGAGAGAGCAGCCTAAGATGGAGCACGTTTGCATCCATCCAGCAGCTTCACAGCCCGCCTGCCCTCCCTCCAGCTGAGCCAGCACGCTCGCATCGCCCTGGGCAGGGGCTCTCGTAGCTCAACGCTTCTTCTTTCTTCTGCTTCAGCCAGGATAGTGTCCCCCGCGCTGGACGCCACAGCAGCCTGTGCTATGCCTAGGAAGGAGCTGGGGATGGCTGGCTGCAACTCTGGCAGCTGTGACAGCATGGTCAGCACAGCCTCCAACCACTCGCAACGTGTAAGTAACCCTGTTGTACCCAGCCTCGGCATGGCAGGGGCTCAACCCAGCCCTCTCAGCAGTTGAGGAAGGATTTTGGTTGGATTTCTGCTGCAAACCATTGGTGCTTTGGAACCACCTGGGGCCCTGAGACAGCCCCGTGTTAAGGGCAGCACAAGGACTAAATTAATTCCTGCCCCAAAGCACTCCCAGATTTTCAGTCCTGTCACGCATGTGGCAATGATCAGGAGCCTTTGCTCCTCTGGGAAACAACACCAAGAGCTCAGCAGCTCCTGTTGTTGCCCGAGGATGCGGAGGCAGCTAGTGCAGGCATTAGGCAGGAGGAGCCTGGCGAGTTCCCCAGTGAGGGATTAGACCAGTTGGATAACTGGGTCAGACTGGCTCCAGCAGGGGTGACTTCACCTGGAAGAGGCAGCGAGCCGCGCTCCTCCCGGCTGACAAGAGATTAATTTCCTAGTTAAGGCAGAGGTGAGTTTGGACCATGGGTGTAGATGTGTAATTTTTCACTATCTGTCCATTAAAGCTTGTTTGTCTCCAAACACTGATTCCAAGATTGATGGACTAATTACATCCTGTCTGACTTGGGGCATAATTGATATGTGTAAGCGCAACGCTCAGTCCTGAACAGGTTTTCCATTTGATGTATTGCAAACCAGAACCAAACCCTCTGAAATTTATTAGGGATGGAAAAACTGGTTGCCATATTGCAGGGTAAAAGATTTGGATACGTGTCTGTGCAAAACAACTCCGCCTGGGACGATTTCTCCTCTGTGCTTGTTGGTCCCATGCACACTCCATCCTTTCCTGCACTTCAGTTTTTTCACGATACGTTGCATGTATCCCCTTGTAACCTGGCACTTCCAGAGCGATCAATGCTTGAAATACAATAAAAATTAAACGGAATCTTGCAACAGTCCTTTCAGACCTGGGGTATGGATGGGAGAGCGAGGAGAGGGACCACCAGCTGCAGATGAGCCTTCAGTATTTATCATGGTTAGACAAGCTTCTAGACAAGATCCAGCACTGCCGATCCGTACAGGTGTCTGTACCTATAGTGTCTGTACCTGTAGGCCACACATGTTACTATCTGCTCGTATTTCAAAGTAACCTAAAGCCTTAAAAGCTAAGTTTCCAAGATAAGAATAATTCATCTTCGGATGCTCATAGCAGGGAAATATAAAAATGGCCTTAAGTGTGTGTGTGTGTGTGTGTATATATATATATATATATATATATATATATATGAGGAGTTATCTCATTTTCCATAGCTGTAAGTACCAATTTTTGAATAGTCACTGGCCAAGTCCCCCGGCCAACAGCTGTCAGAGATCCCTATTACCTGCCAGGACTGTGAAGAATAATAATAATAATACACCTCTCTCCTACCTGTACTGCTTTTTTTCCTCTTTTTTTTTTTTTTTTTCCCAGAGTGATAACAGTTATGACTACTTATCTGTGGAAGAGAAAGAATGTTTGATGTTTTTAGAAGAAACTATTGGCTCGCTGGATGCAGAAGCAGACAGCGGGGTCTCTACTGATGAGACCGATTACGTGGAACCCTCCAAGCTGCCCGGGACGCGGCCCAAGAGAGACTCCCTTCCCCGGGGTAAGCTGGAAAACACGTGCTCCAGCCCTTGTTTGCAAAGGGCCTGTCTCGCTGGGGTGCGTTCCCTTGGCAGGCGGGGAAGGAGCATTGCCCCAGTTTTACAGATGTGGAAAGCTAAAGCCAGCCTGTTCCCATCGCCCCGCGGTGAGCAGTGCCTGTGGGCAGCAGATAAGTAGGGCACCAGCTGCATTTTCCCCGTTCTCACGTGCAGAAGGTGCTATCAGCTGTCGAGCAGAACCACAGGGTAGAGCACCTTTGCTCGTGCCTTGGCTTACACTGGTTAACAAGGCTCCTTATTTACCCTGTGTCAAATCCAGAGTATCTGGCTTCTTTGGCAGTGACAGCGTATTAGCTGGGGTCAGGGTAACCTCTCTGGGTGCAAGCACTCTGCCAAAGCTGCACGGGTGTAGCAGGCACAAAGGGTGGTTTGCAAACAGGGAGGTGTCCTGTGTCTGTGACTTCATCTCTTTGCCTAGACTTGGAAAACGGGGCTCCCCCTCTGAGTGCAGGCCAGCAGTGTGCAGCTGAAGAGAAGAGCGGTAAGAGCATCTCTGCTTTCTCAAGCTCGGCTCCAGCAGCGGTTCCAAGCCCAGGCTACTTCAGTCTTCCGAGGAACACCACCGTAGCAAACGCACAGAGAGCAAACGGAGCTTCTGACAGCAAAGCGACTGTCCGCACAGTGGAGCCAGTGCCAGCGGGTAAATCTTCACAGGAGATGGCCAAGAAGGACAAGCTTGACCATGCCGATGCGAGAAGCCACATGAAATCCCTGGAATTGTTGATTATCCAACCTCCAGGTCCCTTCCAGGACAACCTGGTTAATCACGAGTGGCCACATAGCAATCGCTCAGATGCCAAGAGGGAAACAGCCAAGGAGACCAAGACTTGGAATTCAAGGGGCCAGCCAGAAAAATCCACATTGGAAGAGGCCCCTCAGGACCCTGATGCCAAGCGCGGGCCTCCAACTGCCCCCAAACCACGAAAACTGCCACCAAATATTATCCTGAAGACCAGCAAAAACAGCCCAGTGCCACTCACCACGGAGCCCAGCCAGAAGGTAAAAGCACCACCTGCATCTTCAACGGGCTCTCAGGCCGGCTCTGCCGGCGACACCACTGCTGAAAAGGTGAATTCAGGGCACCTCGACCCCAAGGAGAGGGAGAAAGCCCGGCGGGAGGCATTGGAGAAGCTCGGACTGTCACAGGACAGGAGGGAGCCCAACAGCCACCTTCACCCTACCGTGCACCCCCAGCCACGGGAGACGCTGCTCCCCAACCCCGGGGAGCCCGGGGGGGCAGCGGAGCGGGCGGTGCCGGGTGTTCGGCCGATGACCTTCAAATCCAACACCCTGGAGCGCTCCGGCGTGGGGCTGAGCAGCTACATGGCCAGTGCCAAGGAGCAGAGCGTCAAGACCAGCAGCTCCTTGGGTAAGATGTCCTTCATCGAGCGGCTCGCCCCGAGCTTCCTCAGGAGCAGCCGTCCCCGGCCGGCATCGCTCGGGACAGGGAAGGACTTTGCGAGTCTGAAGGAGCCCGGGCAGGTGGAGCAGGAGAAGAGCAGCAAGCGGCGATCCCACCCGCTGCAGAACTTCCCCAGGCCACCCCGCTCCTGCGTCAGCGTGAAGATTTCCCCCAAGGGCGCGACCGACGAGAACCGGCGAGAGGCACTGAAGAAGCTCGGTCTGCTGAAGGAATAGCTCTGTGGGCAGTGGGGCTGCTGGAAAATGGGCTTTGCACCCCAGACCCAGATGCCTTCACTGCCCATCCTTGGGCAGCACAACCGTAAGCATCTTCTGCTGTGATCTCCTGCCCCAGCGTCTCAGGAGTGGTGCCACCAGAGGTATCCAGAGCTTCACGCCAAATAGGTAACACCACGTGTACATAAGATTTTGTATATAGCAAGTGTATATGAGCTATTTATATAAAACATCCCTCAGCACGTGGATGGGGCATATTCTCCTACAAGGTCTTTAATGCATTTGGGGGTTCATCAAAACAGGGAAGCCATGGAATTGGGGGTTTGGCTTAATTTCAAAGGGGTTGCCTGTGGATCTCTGGGAAGAACTGCAGGACTCTGCCGCTCCTTTAGGATTTTATGTTTGTTTGTTAACTTTATCAAAGCCTCTGAGGCCTGAGCACTCACCCGCCCCATGCAAGTGCCTCCCAAAAGCCACCACTGCCACATACAAAACCATTGGGCCAACGGGCACTGGGAGGGGGGGGGGGCTGGGAACTCTGCCCCCCACACGAGTGCTGCTCGTACAGCACCTGTGGGCGAGAGCCTGGACGGCTGCACGGGCATCCTGCCCCCTCCCCGCTGGACCATCCTCACAGCCCGGCAGCCTGGGTACAGCACGTGGAACACCCGTGTCCCACCTGAAGGGACAGTTCAGAAGCGACAGACTCTGAGTTGGGGGCAGAACCAGAAGCGCTGCCCAAAACGAGCGAGGCGCAAGTCTGACAGCAGCATCCCGACCCTTTTCCTCGCGTCTTTCAGCCCCAGCTGATGGCTGTCGACGTTTCTGCTGCGCACCTTTTTGTAATGAAGGTGGTTTATTTCTGTAATAAACTTGTACACGTTCAGAAAAAATGACCGTGCAGTACAGATTTATCTTGCAGGCTGTGGGGACGTCTCCCACGGCGGCCACGTTAGTTGAAAAGCCACACTAACAGTTTAGCTTGAGAGGATCATTTTATTTTCTTCACCATAAAAAAAAAAAAAATAAATTTCTTTCATGCAATCCTGGCTTTCAGTGTTGGACATCTAGAGAGAGTCTCTGCTAATAAAGCAACTGCCTTTGCTCCTAACAGGCCATTTAATTTCCAAACTCACGTAGGTTTCCTTTAGAGAGAGGGTCTGACCCGTGGAGGCAATTGCACTAAACAACTCACTGACATTAATTAACTGCTTGCAGCATTAAGATAAAGTCGCACTCAGTCGTTTTCATCACTGACCTTGCAGTACAACCAGCTTTCCGGGACGGCGTTATGAATACTAAACAGGCTCATACTGACAAAACCCAGAGCCAGGCTTCTAATTCCTCTCCACGCAGGCATCGGTGGAGCTTCGGTTTTGCATGGAAGGAAGGGGAGGGCACCCTTCTGCAAAAGCTGCAGCATTTCATAAGCCCCCACCCAAGAGGCGTGGAGGGAACAGCACCGACCCATGTAAAGGAATCCAACGAATGCGAGAAAATGATGTCTGATTAGCTACACTTCATGAAAGCAGGGAAATGCTTCTTTGTACTTAAGCAATTAAGTAAATGAGTTTGGGGCTAGCCAGCAGTAATGCAAACCTGGACGTGAGGGAGGAAACGAGGAGAAGCCGCCTGGGTTAAGGTCTGACCGAAAGCTCAGCAGACGCCGTGGTGCGTGTACATCGGCTCCAAGAGGGAGAAGGAGCCCAGGAGGTTATTAACTGCCCCAGCCCGAGCCCAGCACCTCGATTCAAGCCTGGAGCCGGCTCGGCAGCGGTGGGCAGGGCTGGAAAGATGCTGCGTGGCTGCACACTGCGGGCGATGCCCACGGCCCCTTGGCCAGGCCCAGGGATGGCGCCAACTGTGTTTAGGTGGTGCAACGGTGCTAAAAAAAAAAACCAACCAAACAAAAAAAAACAAACTCAAAGAAAATACTCAGCTTTGCATTTGCATGGCTGAGGGGTCATCGCGAGCGGTTTAAGGGGGTTTAGGCAGGATTAAGGGGGTTTGCACCAAGAGCGGAGCAGGGTGCAGACGCTGCCCTACACACAGTGCTCTGAGTGCAAGCCTGGCCCAGTACAAGTGGGTCATAATAAATACGGCCAGAGCTGAGGTAGCCCCGTGCAACTGGGTCCCCGTGGCCTCAGGAAGGTGCTTCTGGGCTAACACATGGCCAAAGAACAAGGGGGCTACTCCGTGCCTACAAACCAGGGGCTCACACCCACACCCTCCTGCCCCTCTCCTCCCCAGCTGCCTGCTTGTGCCCGGGGCAGGGGCTGCCCGGGCTGTCGCAGGAGGCAGAAAGAGCAGCTTGGGGTTTGGAAGCCACTCCCAGATGCTGCTAAAAGCTCTGCGGAGCTGCGAGGGGGGCTGCGCTCCCCTGCGAGAGCAGGATCCGTCCATCAGCAGCAGGGCTTGGCTCTGGGTGGCACCAAGCAGAGTCATGTGTCTGCTCTTGCGTAAGGGCCCAGGACTCACGCAGCCCGCGGGGATAAACACCTTCGTTTCTAATGGACGCAAACATATCTAGCCTGTAAAATGTCATATTTTGCTTGCAGGATTAAACAGCAACGCCTGCTTTTAGAACAGGGCTTGCCCACGGTGAGTGATTCAACCCAGAGCACCCAGTGGCAGCGGGAGCACTTTTCCCCGCGGAAAGGCACAGGTCTGGAGTTCCTTCCCAGGGGAGTCACCCTCATCTCCCCGTGGCGGCTGTTTTAATTTATTCTCTTTTGTTTCCACTTCATACCAGCCAGACCATGTACACGGCTCCTGTTAATGAACATCACTGCACCCCATCACAGCTTAATAAGCAATTTTTGGACGTGAGATTTCGGCTGGAATTCTAATCAAAACTTAGCTGTCGTGCTTGACGTCTGTGCCGCTGAAGTGCTCCCTGGTTTTGGCTAAAGCCAAGGATTAGAAGAGAGTCCTTTGTTCCCAAAACAATATGTTTGTAAGAGAAGTTAAGGTTCTGTTTCGGGCCAAAAAGGCTTTGAGAGAGACTTTAGTGTTCTCCTTTCTCACTAGATAAACAAGGTGAGATTACCCTTGAGACTGCAAGTGTCCTTTATCTGCATTACGCAAGAGATGCGCGGTAAGACAGAGCATGGAGCGGCATAATGCTGGGACCAGCAGTGGGTAAAATGGAGCGGTCAGAGGAGAAGAGCAGAGGGATGAAAATGTACCATTAAACCATGCAAGAGCTGGCTTCAGAGGGCTGACCCTTCCACTCAGAGCTTAATCTTGCATCTTCCTCTCTTCTTTCATTTATACTCTGCTTTTAAAGTCAATTATTTGCACTTGAAAGCCTACAGCCTGGGGAGCACAGCCTGGGTGGGAACCTCTCCCCTGCACATCAGGCTGGTCACAGCCTGCCAGCTCTCGCCGGCAGCACCAGGTATTCCCCTTCTTCTCGCAGGAGGAGCCAGGAAAGAGCATCAGCCACAGCAGCCCTGCATTTACAGTCACCCAGATAACTGCTCCCAACCCTGGCCCGCTGGAGCACTCCCTCCATGCCAGGCAGCGAGGACCACAGGGAGCAAAGTTCTCCTGCTCTGACGTAGCCCATAATCCATAAACTCAAAGGCAGAGGTTTACTTTTGCTGTAGTCGAGCCCACGTCTCACATCAGCAGAGTCTCCAGCAATGAGCTGCTCCTCAGCCAAGTGCCCGGGGGATCCCCACCATCCCCTGATGTAGGAGCAGCCCAACCAGCCCCAGTTTGCAGCCTGGAAGGAGCCTGAGGAGGTGCATGAGGTTTTCTTTTATACGGGGAGAAGCTGGTGGGCACTCAGACGAGCTACCAGCCACCCCAGCTGTGCTTCTCCAGCCCACGGGCACGGGCACAGCTGATGTGAGGAGCTGCTCCCCTCGCAGAGAGGCAAGGGAAAGGCTGCTCCTGGCCATTAATGGTACTTGGGGGTGCCTGGGAGGTGGACAGGAGAAAAGCAAGAACAGAAACAAAATCCACTTCCATGTTCAGCCAGACTCCAGCCAAGTTCCCAGGCTCTTGTCTGGGTACTGCTGAAAGTAGACTTTGTACTACTTACTTAATTCAGGGCATAATTTGCTTGATTTGTGCCCAGGAAGCAAAATAATAGCAGATCCCAGTCAAAAAATCAGACATGAAGAGGGATCAGAATATTTTAGAAGCAACCCGAAGGATTGGTAAATGTACCCTCAGTGCTTTAATGCAGATGATACAGACTGTGTTTAGGTAGTGCAACGGTGGTAAAAAAAAAAAAAAAAGAAAATACTCAGCTTTGCATTTTGCATGGAGTATTCATCTACTTTTTAACTATCAGTCCCGTACTGGCTCAGACGTATCATTTCCATGTCTACATGAGCCTGTCAAGACCTACTATCCCAATTAAAAGCATTCTTGCACACATCTTTTCATCAAATTCAGGAGAAGGGGTTTGTTAAATTCTGGCGGTATCAAAGAACATCCCTCAGCTGTGCTGGGCCTCAGCCTCCAGGAGAAACCGGTCGTCTTAATGATAGACTTTGTGACTGTGCAGCAGTTTCGGTGTGGGTGTCAGCAGGGAGCCTTGGGGCTGGCGTCCCACAGGAGGTTGGGGAGGTGGGTTGGTTTCTGCTGGTCCCACACGTCTCCAGAGGGAGAACATCAAACCTGCGCTGGGAGACCCAGGGTCCCGCTGCAGCTGCCCTGGTGGGAGACGACTGTAGATGTCTGAGGGGTTTTCACCACGTTCCAGTCAGGGTTTGGGCAGTAACTGGTCGCTGAGCCTCAGCCCTTTCCCTGCTCACATCCCGATGGAGAGATGGACCCTCTCCAATTCCGACTGCTCCAGTATGAAGGAGGAATAAATGACACCTATTTCAAGGAGTGTTGCATCTCTCTCTGCCTCATAAATTCACCGGGATAATCCCCACGCTTTGCCTGATCCCTCTGTTTCTCTTCCGTTCGGTGTTTTGTGTCGGTGCTCACAGCAGCGGGTGGCAGAGGGAGGCGTGGGGAGCGCTCCCGTGCAGGTGCGGTGGCACTGCGTCTTGCTGCTGGCCCAGCCAGCATAAATAACCCCTCAAGGAGGAAGGCAAAGGGACTCGGACCCTGGGTACATGTGTGACCTTGGCGTGGGGACTCCTCCAGCTGCCTGCTGTGCGTGATACGTCATGCTGCTGCTTCAGCTGAACTTCTGGGCGATGCCTTAATCCCTGTGGGCATGCTGAAAACCTGCGAGCCTCTCGGTGCTTATGATCAACTAAGGCTTGGGAGAAAAGTGCTGCTGGGGTTCAGCTCATGTCACCCCGCGCCCCAAGGCCAGGCACAGAGCTGAGCTCAGCCTGTTCATCAGCCCTGAGCACTGCAGGGGCATCGCTCCAATTACACCAACCAACCAAGGCAAGCCCTGACTGTTTGCAGTTATTAATAATGAAAAAACTGTGTGGCAGACTCTCAAGCCTAGGAGCAACATTCCCTGGAAATTAGTGTCGTTCTAACTCCCCCCAGCCAAGGGTTATCCTTGATGTACAGAGCTGTCCCACCGTGTTCAAGTGTTCCTGTGCAGTGGGTGTCCCGAGGTGAATCTGAATTCAGCCCAGATCAACACCAGGAGTGGCCTGGGTGACGCCTGTCCATGCCCAGGACGACCTAGTGCAGGATTTGACACAATATACTCTGCGTTTCTTTTTTATCCCGTTCATTGTTTCTAATGGAAATTTGAAAGAAAAAAAGCCAGCCGTACCCCCACACCTTGTTGCTGCCGTGTAGCACTGGAGAACTAACGACCTGCAGATACGGAAAAGCCAGGCACTAAACACATTCGAGCCTTTTATTGCCGACTCCTGCCGTGTTCAAACGACCAGGCTTTTCCTGGTTTGAGTTTGTTTTGCTTTCCTTGCCAG